CGGAGGCGCTAGGGGCCGGCGGGACGGTAGGCTAGGGCAAGGGGCGGAAGCGGGTGGGCGGCCCTAACCTACTCATGATACCATGTTAGAATACGAGAATGACTAGAAACAAGAGAGAACAAGTGAGATATAGGGTTGGAGTTGTACCCTCTAAGAACACACACCTATCTAGCCTATAACTTCTACATACAAATATATGTATAAGTTGACAACAGGCTGCCACATGCGAGTTAAGAAAGTCACGTACGACAAGAAAGCAAAGTCGCGGGGGTAGTTTGGCGAAGAAGTTCAGGTTGGCGAGTTTCGCGAATACCGCAGATTTGTAGGCTGCAATTTTCCTGTGTTGAATCGTGCATGAGCTGGGCAATTTCGGTTTGGGCAGGCACTACACTACTGACCGTGTGGCAAGTGTGCTGGTGCACCCCAAAACGAACAGAGCTCCCTTCCCGGAGTTCGGAGCAAATGACGGGAGGATGGGACTAGAACGAAATGGAGTGGAGCGGAACTCTACTTGCCACACGCCCTTAGGGCGCGTCACATTTTTGTGAACATGAAGCAAATACCAGATGTTTGCGAAAGCAACCAGTTTCACGACGCTCGTCAAACCATCGCGATAATCCAAAAATTACCACCCCACAAGATGTGACACCCCTAAAATACCAATTCTCCCCATGCTCATTTCGGTATTGGTTAGCATGGTTGCCCCTCGCGAAGTTCTGCGAAATACTTTGTTGAACATGGGTTCGGAAAACCGCATGTTCATAAATTTGTGACGCGCCCTGCAGTGGGGATACGCGAAAGGGCGGAACGGGCTTTGAACAAGGCATCGACAGGACACGTCGGAGTATTTGTGGGAGAGTGGGTGAAAGCAACTAGCCATGGCGACTATCGCAAAACTTCGGACGTCCCTTCCTCACCTCAACACGACAGGTCGACAGGTTTTGTCGACGCTTTTCAACGACGCTCACGATGATGCGAAGAGAGCTGACAAAATGGTTGTCGAAAGTGTATCGCAAATGTGCATGATTGGTTAGTGGTTAGTGTCAAACATAACTTAGTATATTACTGTAGACTATATTGTCTAGAATAGCCCTGATTCTGCGAATGTTGTAGAAGACACGAGCCCTGCAAAAAGGCCCATCGATGAAGAGCAGATTTGTCGACAAGGCTCTGCGGGAAGTGGCAGAGGAGCAGTTTTCGTTGGTGACAGAAAAGCGGTTCTGTCGGAGTGGCAGAACAGGAGCGCCTTTTCTGCATATGGCTTCTACAGACTTCTGTGCGTTTGTAGAAGCGGTCTCGGCAGAATCGAGAGTGTACAAGACCTTCTGCCGATTTGGCACCAGGGGCCATTCGTAGAAGGGTTGTCCTCTGCCGCAATATCGCGCAGAAGATATTTCTGCAGGCGACCCTTTCGGCAGAAAAGACTCTCAGAAATGCGTTCCAACAGGACCTCGAGCAGGGCAGCGCAAGGATCTGTTCGCGCAGAATTGCGTTCTGCCGAAGTTCGGCAGAAAGGCAATTCGGATATCTCTTCTGTTGTCGACCCCCTCGACAGAGACAAAATTCGGCAGAAGCGCGGCAGAGAGTCATCTCAAACTTCGCTTCTGCGAGCGACCCCTTCGACAGAAAATCGGGGACTTAGCTTTTCTGCGGAAGGTGGCGTTCCGAAATCGCGGGAAATTTGCGATTTCGTAATTTAACAACAGAAGTGATCTGGACCGAAAACGGCAAAATCGACCTGCGACCAGGGCCTCAGATAGGGTTTTGGGCATCCTGACCAATCAGGGCAAGCCTCCAAAAAATCGTGTAGCACTTAGGGTTGGTTGCCTATGTTCATACTGATTCCTCATGGTGGTTCCCCAGTTTATACTGTCATCTCAGGGTAAATTCAAAAACATTGGAAACGTTGCACTAAGTCACATTGCACTGCAGAAGAATACTAACAGGATATCGGTCGGCACTTCATGTTTTGCGCTAGCTTAGCCACTATTGGTCAAGCTTGTAAGATTTGGTGAAAATCTGCGCACGCAGCAAATCAGGCCGGGAATTTTTCTAGCAGTCCGATTGTTCAGGGCCTGTTGTTATGTGACGCGATGTTGGGCGGCTTCGTGACATTCAGGACTTTGCTTGTCAAATTTGCCCGTCAACGCAGTCTTGACACGAATTAGCGTGACTTGTGTCGACTTTGAGACACACCCTCAGTTGAAAAATGCCACGTCTTAATTTTTATACGAAAATCGAATGCATGTGGGCGAACGTGAAACATTTGGCGTTGAGCTGTTCTGACGGCCCGGTTGAGTTTGGATGTTGGAGAGCTCGAGGGAATTTTGGGCATTACGAATTTGATGGGCAAAATCTGTTCAAGTGAAGTGACAGGAATTTGGGCCGTTCGATCGTCGACGAGTCAATCGTATGCAGAGACTTTGGGGGGTTTGAATACTGTGCATGCGGAAGACTATGCTAAAATGTCTAGCTCGCCGAGATTTTAGGGTTGAGGGGGGTTCGTGGAGGATTGTCTCTAGCATTGATGACCACCGAAAAAATAGAATAGCGGGGAGGGTGGGGGAGGAAGGGGGGGGGGGGCAGTGGGGGGGGTTGGGTTTCGTTCGAGGATTGTCTCTACCATTAAGAACTTAGCCAAAATAGAGTGGCATGGGGCTGGTTGGAGGATTGACTCTAGCATCGCCGAGGGGGTTGGAGGACTTAGCCGAAATTTGTTTGGGCGGAAAAAAACAAAGCATGCGCCACTGGGGCACGTGCATTTGCAAGATTCGATTAATCAGGGTTATCCCCGAAAGCATACTGACACCTCAGGGCTGGTACACGAACACTATACTGAAACTTCAGGGTTGCACTATGACTTCAAACTGAATTCACAGGGTGGAAAATTACCTTCAACTGAATTTACAGGATTGACCCCTAACAATCATCCTGAAAATCAGGAATTCATGATAAAACATCCTGATATCTGAGGGGCTGCCTGCGACATTGAGAAATTGAACACGTGACGCACATTTCGTAACTGCGGAAATGTGCGTAACATCTGACAGTTTCATATCTGAAACTGTTAAAATGACTACTTCTAAGTGGGTAAAAATTACCAACTAAGCATTTGCTGTAATTTTCACCCGCCATTGCTGACTTGGCTAAGCGCAGCTTAAATTAATTATGTAAACGTTCTCATGCGAACGTTCTCTCTGTGTTCAATGGGGTAGTACTAGTGTTTGCCTTGTGTACCATACTTTGTAATCTTGATTCTAGTGAATTTGTGTGCCCAAGCTTTCTCAAGCTACTCAGTAAAATACACAATTCTGAAGGCAAATCTCTCATTAGAGAACCACAGAGCTAGAGAGCTTTATCTGCGTCAGGCACTTCCGCAGAAGCTCCCGTTATAACTGAAAACTCTGCATATTTAGGTTTGTGCCTTAGAGGGTACAACACACTAGCCTATATTCCATTGTACTCTCTCTTTCTAGTTATTCTTGCATTCTAACATGGTATCATGAGTAGGTTAGGTCCAGTTCGCCCACCAGCGCTTCCGCCCTAGATCCTAGCCGCCCGTTTCCCCTAGTCGGCCCACCCCTAGTCCATTAGCCGGGCCGCGCCCACGCCCGTCCCGTTAGCCGGCCCGCGCCCGTCCGTTAGCTGGTCCCGCGCCTGCGCTCGTGTCGTAGCCGGTCCCGCGCACGTCCGTTAACTTGCCCGCGCCCGTCCCGTTCGCCGGCCCGCGCCCGTCCGTTAGCCGGCCCGCGCCGGTCCTTTAGCCGGCCCTGTGCCCGCCCCGTAGCAGGCCCCGTGCCCACCCTATAGCCGGCCCTCGCGCCCGTCCCGTAGCCGGCCCCGCGCCCGTCCCCTGTACGCAGAGTTGGTGGGTTGCCTCATGTACCTGATGACTTGCACTCGCCCAGATCTCGCATACCCTCTCCGTATCATGGCTCGTTTTGTGGCCACATGCAGACACCGACCACAGCACTGGTCTGCCACTAAGAGGGTTTTGCGTTATCTTGCAAGTACTTCGGGCATGGGGCTAGTGCTGGGAGGACGCAGACCAGTGGTCCTTACTGGACATACAGACGCTTCTTGGGCAGACGACGCAGAGACTCTCAGGTCCTCTCAGGGCTACTGCTTTAGCCTTGGTTCAGGTGCTGTTTTATGGAGAGCTACCCACTCCTCGTCTGTTGCCCAGCCCAGCTGCGAGGCTGAGATCTACGCTGGTGCCATGGCGGCACAGGAGCTCCGCTGGCTGACCTTCTTGCTCACTGACTTAGGTGAGCGGCCTAGCTCTGCCCGTCCTGTACGCTGACAACACGGCCATGATCCTCCTGTGTCAGGAGCCTTGACTTGAGGGCAGAGCGAAGCACATCCAGCTGCGGTACTTCCTCATGCGCGAGCTACTGCAACGTCGCCAGGCCCGCGTATTACACTTGGCCTCCGGTGCTAACACAGCTGATATCTTTACGAAGGCGCTTGCACCTAAGTATCATCAGCGGCACTGTGTACAGCTTGGTCTTGTTCATGTAGCCTTTCATCTACTAGGGCCTTGATTGTGTACAGACCTTTATACATGTTACCCTGACTGGCCTTGTGGCCTCTCCCAGTGGCTGGACTAGTAGTGCCGCCCTGGTCTTGCTCTCGTCTTTGTCTGTTATCCTTTTGACTGGTCTTTAGACCCTTGACTCAGAGGCTGGACTATTAGTGCCGCCCTGGGCTGCTTGTTCTTCTGTTAGGCATTGCCCCTATATGGTCTAGGGGGTGTGTCAAACATAACTTAGTATATTATTGTAGACTATATAGGTTTGTGCCTTAGAGGGTACAACACACTAGCCTATATTCCCTTGTACGCTCTCTTTCTAGTTTTTCTTGCATTCTAAATGTTAGATCGTCTATTATAGGAGTGAGATGTTTGGTACATCTTGTACAAAATTGCGAAAGGCATACTAACTAAACACTTCCCAGAACTGCACTTCCCTGCTGCTGAACTCGGGGTTTGCAGCTGAACACTAAAGCACCCAGTGCGCTGGAACGGTTGACCCCCCAGATCCCGTTGATTCAGCCTCACCCCGACGGCGCGCAATGAAGGTTCTCGTCGTGGGCGGCACGGGATATCTCGGCCAGCTCCTCGTGAAAGCGCTCACGGCTCTGGGAAACGCGGAGGCTGATGATCGCGTCGCTCGCGATCATGACGTGGCGCTGACGTTCTGCTCCTCCCCGCCAAGTGCGGATCAGCTAGCCGCGCTCGGCGGGCCGCGCGCGTTCCGCGTGGATCTAATAAACGGGGATGGGCTGGCAGCGTGCATTGAGGAATTCGGACTGGTTGGTGGGTTGACAGGTGGTTCGGCTGAGGGGGGTTCAGCTGAGCCTGAAGGGGGTTCTGCTGGGTCTGAGTTTCTGGTGGTAGCATGGAGGCAGGTGGGCATGGAGGGATGGTGAGTCGGCCCAGGAACATGTCGTGCCGCTTCACCAGCTAATGACGGTGCCCATTTCCCCACCATTCTCTCTCCCCACACACCTCCCCGCCCCCCACAACCCACCCCACCCCTTTCCATCCCGCCTTACCAGCCCGACGTGGTGGTGAAGTGTGCAGCCATGTGCGTGCCAAGGCAGTGCGAGAGTAAGGCCCCCCGGCGAATATTTCCAACGCCATCTTCCCCCTGTCTCTCCCCCTATCGCTGCCAGCCCGACGTGGTGGTGAACTGTGCAGCCATGTTCGTGCCCCGGCAGTGCGAGTGCGATCCCTCCCACGAGTAATTCGGTCTCCCTCTCCCCCTTTGTCTTCCCGTTTCACCTGTCTCGCTCCCTCCCCACCGCTCCAGCCTGACGTGGTGGTGAATTGTGCCGCCATGTCCGTGCCCCGGCAGTGCGAGAGCGACCCCGCCCTCGCCATGCGGATCAACGTGCCCTCGGCGCTCATTGCCGCGCTCACTGATGCTGCGAGCAGGCGAGCAGGGAGCAGTGGAGATGCGGATGGGGAGCAACAGCTTCCGCTGCTGATCCATCTCTCCACGGACCAAGGTGTACAGTGGTTGGCTGTATCGTGGTTGGCTGAGTTGTGGTTGGCTGAATTGTGGTTGACTGAAATGTGGTTGAGTTCAACAGGTTTGACTTGAAGTGTGGTCAGCATTTTGTTCCACCATGAATTAACCATTTCGGAACACAAACTTCCAACGCAACAGAATCAACATCCGGAGCCGTCCATTCAGTCTGCCAACCTCTCTCCTGCGCCCTTATATACCAGTAGCCAAAACGCCCACCTCCTCAAAGAGTAGCAGCGTAACAACTGACGCCTCTCTCTTTTTCCGCATTCCTCCCCTTCTGCGTCTCACCACCCTTTCCCCTCGTCATTCTTCTTTCTTTTCCTCCTCTCTGTTCCTCCTTCCCCCCCAAGTCTATGAGGGCACGAAGTCGTTCTACAAGGAGAGCGACCCCCTCGTCCCTGTGAACACGTACGGCAAGTCCAAGGTAGCAGGGGAGCAGGCGGTGCGGGAGCAGTGGGCGGGCAGCCACGCCATTCTGCGCAGCAGCATCATTGTGGGGCCGCCTCCGCCCGTGCCTCTGAAGAAGACCCTGCCTCTGCAGGTAAGCCGCTGCTGAGACATGGATATTGGAGAACGGAGTTTGGAGAACGAACAAGGTTGCTGGAGCAGCCTGACAGCAGCAGCATCGTGGGGCCACCTTCGCCTGTGCCTCTGAAAAGGAACCTGCCGCTACAGGTGGGGGGAGGGGGAGACAGGAGACAAGGGTTGCTGGGGGGTTGCTGGGGTGACTCGACAGCAGGACCAGTGTGGGTTTGCCTCCTCCCGTTCCTCTGAAAAAGGCACAGCTGTTGCAGGTGAAATGAGAGGAGGAGGAGAGACAGGAAGCCAGACCAGACCTCACCTCTCAGGTAGAAGAGAGCTATCTTGCGCTTCTCAGTCCCCTCATAAGTTCATAACCTCGATTCTTGGCTCAAGTCTGCCTCTCCATCCCTCGTAACCCTGATCAGGGTTCTCAGAACCATCCTATCCCATGTGTGAGTGAACCGCTCAGGTGTCTCAACACCTCTCAATCTTGGCGCATCAAGTGTCTACCTCTCGGGTGTCAATCATCCAGCCTTCCCCTTTGCAGCTTGCAACCGCCTTCTATGTTCCTTGACAAGAATCCTTCCTCCTCTTGCTGTCGATCCTCCCCTCTCCACCTTCCCATCTTCCCGCACACTCGTTCCTCCAGTCCCCTTCCTTCCCTCCTGCTCCCATTCATCCTCATACCCTAAGGCGCGCTTCAAAACTCGGCCTCCTATCCTATCCCCCCTTCGTCCACCATCTCCAGTTCCTTCCTTTCTCTCTCCCTTCCCCACCTTCCCCACCTCGCCCTCCTCCTCCCCTTCTTCCCTTTCCCCCTCCTCCCCGTCTTCCCTCTCCCCTCTGCCCGCCTCCCCCCACTGCCAGTGGATGCATGCAGCGCTCTCCTCCTCCCTGGCGTCACGCCCATTGTCCCTGCGCTCAGGTAGCGCTGTCACTCACTGGCTGACCCAATCCCCTGCTCCCTGTAACCGTGTGCCCTCCATCCCTCACTCCCCCTCCGCCAGTGGATAGACTCAGCACTCTCCTCCTCCCTGGCGTCAGGCCAGCCCGAGTCCTTCTTTGACGACGAGTACCGCTGCCCCATCTACGTGCACGACTACCCACGCATCGTCAGGGCCCTCATGGATCGACATGCCTTAGGTAGGTATGGGGCGTGTTCCTTGCTAGCCTTTTAAACAGACAGTGACCTCCTTGTTGTTTCTTTGCCTTTCTGCTCCTTCCCCCTCTGTCCGTTTCCACCTTTTTTCCCCTCCTCTACCCCGCCTCCCCCCGGCCCCCCCACATGAGCCACCTTTTCTCCATATGCCCGCTTCCCTCCCCAACTGCCTTTTCCCCAGCTACCTTTTCGCCAACTGCCTTTTCCCTCAACTGCCCTTTCCCCAACTGCCTCCACTGCATTCCTTCCTCCCTTTACCCCCTTTCGAGTTGAAAGGTCGAATCCCATCCCTCGCCTTCCCTTCCTTCACCCTTTTTCCCTGGCCTCCCCCTCTCGCCTCGCCTCCTCTCTCTCCCCCGCCATCCCAGCAGGCCATCGATTCGCCCTCACTCTGAACGCAGGGGGGCCAGACCGGCTCTCTAGAGCCGACATGGCAGCAGTGGTGGCCAGAATCAGGGGGTACCTCCTCCCCGGTGCCTCCTCCACTGGTCCTTCCGCTGCTGCTGCTGGTGCAGCTGCCAGCGGCAGTGGCAGTGCCATTGTGAGGACGTGTGTGAGCAGGGAGGGCGATCTCATCACCAGAGCACCTGCTGCCTCTATGGTGCGTAAATGTTCTCTGCTGCTCCTGCTGCCCCTGCTGTCTCCTCCTGTTTTGAACTTTTCATCCTCCGTCCTTCCCCTTCCCCTCCCGTTCCCTCCTCCCTCCCCCAACTCGGATCAAACCCACCTTCTTGTCCCTCCTACCTCCCTCCCCCTTCACCGCCCCAGGCCAACCGGGGAGTGGCGAGTCCAGCGGACATCTCCATGGACACCCAGCTCATTCAGCACGAGCTCTCACCCTCCCTCACTCCCTTCACACATGTTCCTACTACACATGTTCCTACTACACATGTTCCTACTCCACATGTTCCTACTACACATGTTCCTACTACACATGTTCCTACTCCACATGTTCCTACTCGACATGTTCCTACTCCACATGTTCCTACTACACATGCTCCACCATCATTGCTCACCACGGACTTTCCCCCACCCCGCAACAATTTCCTCTCTTACCTTGTCGGGTGTTTTTGAGAATTCTCAAAGTCCCCTGCCTGGTGCCTGTCTTCACCCTGCCTGCCCCCTTCCCAGACCCCCCCCCTCCTCCCTCCAACTTCCCCCCCTCTCCCCCCCCCCAACACACCCCTAGGCCAACCGGGGCGTGGCAAGTCCAGCGGACATCTCCATGGACACCCAGCTCATTCAGCACGAGCTCTTGCTCGCCCTCACTCCATTTGAAGACGCTGTCAGACTCACCTTATCTGCTCCGCGCTGATACGTTCTTCGGATTCGTTCTTAAGACAAGACAAGACTCTGCCACTCTCACCTTGGAGTCAGGAGATGTCTGTCTGGCTCACCTTCACTGTTCCGCACTCATACCTATGCACTTACAATGATTCCTTCTTATGATAAGCCTCAAGACAAGGCTCGACCCTGCCAGGCTCACCCTGGAGTGTGGAGACCCCTCAACGCTCAACCTTTGAAGAAGCTGTCTGCCAGGCCCATCTTCACTGCTCCACACTGATGTGCTCTGCTTCTGCAGATGCCTGCCTGCCTGTACTACTGCCATACATTTTTAGTATGGTACCGCAACTCAGACTGGATCGTGCACACTGGGTTTGTGATTTTTGAGTTGACTCAAATGGTACCGCAACTCTGAGACACGGTCTTGCACACTGGGTTGGGTAGAACTTAAAACCTGCTTCTGCTTATGCCTACCTGTCTGCCTCTACAATCTGGGTACAACCTGCGCTTTCAGGGGCATTTGTGCTTCTTTGCAGCGAGTGCTATGGCATTCTCTGCAGCTAGTGTGCTGGTGGTGTTTTGTTATGTGAAGCGTCCTGTCCTGGAGGAGAGCAGAGCAGCCTTGTCGGCTTCTTCGTCAGTGCGGCCTATATTGTCATTGGTTGGCATGGCAATGGAATGCAGCATGAATCACAATGGATGGCTAGATGCTTGTTTGGCGCACTGCCGGCGGCATACACTACATGTCCACCACTTCACATAACCACAATCAACAGGTACCAACCAACCAACCACCAAACAACCACCAAACAACCACCAACCAACCACCAACCAGCCACTCTCAAAGGGAGCTGCCAGCTTCTACCTCCACCACTACCAACCACCACCGACCACCACCAACCACCACGAGCCACCACGAGCCAGCACTGACTGTAACAGCCCATCCAGATTTGAGCATCCATCCACCTGCCTCTTCTGTTGTCACTGACTCACTGCACACAGTGCACTCTCCTCCCCTCCACCGCTCTCCGTCTTGCTACCCAATCTCGTCTCTTCCTGCCCCTGCCCCTTATTCCCGCAACGCACGTTCACTCCTCTCCCCTCACACTCCAACTCACTCGTCTCCCCCCCCCCCACCCCCCACCCCTTCTCATTCCCCTCATTCCCATATTCTCCATCTCTCAAACCACCGGTGGCGGCGGTGGCCGTTTCGGCGGGGGAGGCGGAGGGGGTCTCCTAGGCGGCGAGGGGGGAGCAGGCGCGGTGGTAAACGCTGCAGCCGTGAACGTGGCCCCAGCCCCATACTGCAGATACCCCAGCTGTGTAACCGCCTCATTGGGGCGAATCGGGAACGTCTTCGGGACGAGGGTGAAGTAGCCGGGGGCGGTGGGGTGGTCTATGAGCCCCCAGCGTGCGAGGGGGGCGAGGCCCTTGGCTTGGATCTTGAGCGAGGTGACAGTCTTGTTGGTGTAGTTGATGATCGTCACGTTGAACACGTTGAAGGACGGCGGCACCGTGGCGTCGATGGTCTGGACGAACGTGATCGGGGCTGCCAGGGGGAACGGGGGACAGAGGGGTTATGGACGGGCAGGGGAAAGGGGGGGTGGGGGGGGAAGAAGGTGGGAGAGGGAGGGGGACGGGCGAGGAGAGTATTCGAAAGATGTGCAGTTTCAAAGCGCCTGCTGACCATCATTCAGGAGGAAAGGAATGTCATGCAAAAGAAAGGAAAGGATAGGAATGGACTCGGGCCAGTGTCTCACTTTTCACAGGAGGCGGGGGGCTCGGCGGCTTGGGCGGCGGGGAAGGGGGCTGGATTGGAGGCGAAGGAGGAGGGGGTTTAACCGCAGGGGGTGAAGGTGGTGGCTGTGTCGGTGTCGGCGCTGGTGCTGGTGGTGGCGACGGTGGGGGCGGCGGCTGTGCAGTGACGGGCGGGGAAGGAGGCGCACTCGACGTATACGCCACCACCCGGAACACGGGCGTGAGTGCCGCATCCTGGATGAAGCCAAACCCCGCCGACCCGCCGGGGTTGAGGTTGGCCGCCCAGTCGGGGAGGACAAGTGAGCGGTCGATGTTCCAGAGGGAGTTGGGGGAGAAGGAGGAGCCGGATAGGGTGATCCCGCGCACGGCGTAGATGCCCTCGTTGCGCACCTCGCAGTTCCACTGCTTCTGTGGGCCGTTGCTGTCGGTCCAGGACGACACGATGGAGCACAGCACCGTCACGTCTGGCGGAAGGGAGGAGGGGAGGGGGGTAAAGGGGGATTGGGGGAGTGGGGGGTTTGTAAAATAACAAGGGTGTGCTTGTGATTCTGTAATTACCTCACTGTTTCTGCGGGCTGTTGCTGTCCATCCAGGAGGACACAATGGAGCAGAGCACCGTCACGTCTGGGGAAGGAAGGGTTGGGGGAGGCGAGTTTATATATAGCTGCTGTTAGAGGGGACGTGCTTGTGATTCAGTGATCACTGCTTCTGCGGGCCGTTGCTGTCAGTCCAGGAGGACACCATGGAGCAGAGCACCGTGGGGGAAGAGGGGAAGTGGGACTAAGAAAAGGGGTGATGGTGTCATCACCTCACCTCACTGCGGCTAAGGGCAGTCCAGCCCGGGAGGACACGATCGAACAGAGCAAAGTCATGTCCAACAGAAAGAGGAGAAAAGATTGGCGTGTGGAACCGTGGCGATGAGGCGCGGGAAGAGAGGGGCGTGGGGGAGAGGAGTCGAGGCCGGCCAAGGGAAAGAGAGGAAAAGCGGAGAAAAGCGGAGAAAAGCGGAGAAATGAGGGGCTGCCCATGTAGAGGGAGTGGTGGGGAGATACTTTGAAGCACGAGGTGCCTGAGAGGTGCACGGTCAGCACAGAATGAGACGGAGCGGGGGAGGGGGGGACACAGAGCAAAAGAGCAACGGAAAAAGGGAAAAAAAACGACGCCATGAGAGCGCAGAGCGCAGAGAAGGGTAGTCACCTGAAAACGGTGGCGGTGGGGGCGAGGGTGGAGCAGGCGGGGGGCTGGGCGGAGAAGGGGGGGATGGAGGCGGGCTGGGGGGGGGAGGGGGAGAGGGCGGGGAGGGCGGGGGCGGGGGGCCAGGCGGGAGAGCGCCAACTAGCAGGCGGGCGAGAGCGCCAACGAGGCCCGGGTTGTTGTAGGTGGTGGGCTCGCCGTACTCGTAGCTGTTGCGCACATCCGAATAGCTGTCCGTCTGATGGGGGGGGGGAAGAGGAGAGGAGGGGAGGGGGGAGAAGGATAAGAGGCAGGGACAGCAAGCAGAGGAGGCAGGGGGGAGTTGCATGCCAGCAGTAAAGGGGGAACCGGGGCGGATATGGGGGGGAAAGGGGGGGATAGGACGATAGAGCGGGCGCTAAACAGCAGCAGATGGCTCAGCATGAAGAAACGCACAGTTTCACTGTAAGCACCCACCTCGTCGCCCCTGGGCCCGCCGACCACAGCCCCAATGTGCACGCTGGGGTTGGGCGCGTCAAAGCATCTGTAGGTGAAGGACGGACATCCAGCACCAGTCAATGCATCGTCCCACAACATATACCCACCCACCCACCCACCCACCACTCACCCCGTCGCCCTTGGGCCCGCCAACCACAGCGCCGATGTGCACGTTGGGGTTGGGCGCGTCCACGTAGAGGTAGGTGAAGGAGGCGCCGCATGCAATGGGGCGCGGGTCCACGTTGAACGACACCACGGACGCCCCGCGGTGGTGGATGCGGCGCGGGTAGTTGGCAGTGAAACCCACCACGTAGGACATGTTCAGGGGGTTCTTGCCCAGGATGTAGTCCACCTGGGGGAAGGCAGGTAAGAGGGACGTAGGGAGGGATGGTGGGGTTTGAGGCCTCGTGATGGTGGATGTTTCGCGGGTAGTTGCCAGTGAAGCCCACCACGTACGAGATGTTCATGCTGCCCAGGATGTAGTCCACCTGGGGGGAGGGAGGAGGGAGCCAGGGGGGGGAGGAGGAGGGGACAATGGGGGAGTTTTGAGGTGTCCACGGTGGTGGATGCGCCAGGGACAGTTGCCTGTGAAGCCCACCACGTACGACGTGTTCAGGGGGTTCTTGCCCAGGATGTAGTCCACCTGGGGTAAGAGGGAGGTAGGGAGGGATGGTGGGGTTTGAGGCCTCGGGCCGATGTTGTCCACCAGGGGTGCGGAGAAAAAGGTGAAGTGATGATATCTGATTGATGGGGATGATGCGGACGGTATTACAAGGCGGCCTGGATGGGATGAGAGGAGATGCATGTAGGTGCATCATGGGATGGGATACGGCTGATGGGTCATGGGATGGGACATGATCCGGCGCTGCCTGCCTACATA